GCAGAAGCAACGGAAGGTAAGAAGACAGAGGAAGGGTGACGTATAGGACTTGCCTAGAGGTAGTTCGCGATTGTTCTTGGTGCGGTTGATGACGTGGACAGTGATGCCGAACTTTATGGGTGCGATGTCCCTGAGGGAGGATGTCGAGTTTCGTTGGCACGATAAGCAATTTCAGACATCTCATCGTATAGTTTTACAGCACTCTCTCTAACCAACCACCCATCCCTACTCACTTTACCACAACCTGCTCCCTCCAAAACGGTGGCCCTTCCCCCCTCTGCCCGCCCGTCCTAACCTTCCTGTCCCCATCGACGACGACCTCACAGATCAAACCTCCACCCGCATCACTCCCTTTCACGATGTCCCTTCCCTCCACAATCCTGACCGAGAGTGTGCGGTGATACCGGTAGGCAAACGTGGCCTTTTCGTTGGGATCAATACTCAGGCCCACGACCTCGGGCACAGCAAAGCACTTCATCAAGGAGCACCAGCTATCGCGGTCCGGGCCGGAGTCAGCTGCGAGGTGGTGGACGTGCGTTAGGGAGGTGCGCACGGCGAAGGTATCCCGGCCGGGATGGAGAGTGGCCGAGAGGGTGTGGATGTAGGAACGGGGGAGATCGGGGAGGTGGATGGGTTCGAGGTGAATTTGGTCCTGTTGTGAGATGGTAATGATGTAGTTGAGTCAGCTAGAAATGTGAAATTGGCTTGGGGCGTTGGTGAGCAGGACAGGAGCCCAGAAAACGAGGTCGTCGAAGACCTATGCACCTGCTCATCGAAAAGGTGAACAAGCCCGTCACTTTTCAAGGAAGCGGAAACCCGTCTCCAAGAACCACCGGTGAGCGACTTCTGCTTCATGGATCGGGCATCTGTTTCGAGCCAGTGTAAGGTCAAGCAATTAGCCTTCAGATATGCAAAAGTAGCTTGCACCGGTTCCAAAAACTATAAGCACACGAATCGACAACTCATAGTAGATTACCGCGCAGATGCAAAATGCCACTCTTGACTGTAGAAAAATCATCAGAGGAGGCTCTCAGAGGTGCCAGCGGAGGGAGTGCAGCCGAATCATTTGAGAAAGGAGTATCATACTTATTTAACGAATGAACGTGATGGTTCGGTGAGTTTACCAAGAGATAATAAGGAACAACGTTTTCCAATTATGATCTCAGCGTGTTTATACAACTTCAACAGGAAGTGTGTAAAATACATGTTAACATACCACGCGATCAAGCAACGCACCCGAACTCTTATGCTGCCGGTGGAGTTTACCAGCGGAGACATATCTTGGAGATGGCAATGGGTACTGTGTTCCGAGTGTCAAGCAGTTTAAGATCAAAACCGACGACGAGCGTAGAAAATAAAAGCAGTAACACACAAGCAACACAGACGTACCATAGAAGTTTGTCGCGACAGCAGACCTGTGATTCCTTTCTTGGGTCCTTGGCACGCAAAAAGCGCGGCCGTCCAGTCGCGGCATTCGGCGTCCGTCTCGGTCTGGAGGAGGATTTCACTTTGAAAGAGGAATTAAACATTCACGATTTAAGAACGAGAATATGGTACACATCAATCCAAGGTATTCAGTAAGATACTTACACAAACGGCCCGGACGTAATCTCGATCACGTTGTCACGCTCTTCATATCCCGCGAGACCGCGTACAGAAGAGGTCCTCAAATCGGCGAGAATGGTGGGATCCTAATCGATTTTGGTGTGAGGAGGAAGGGGAGCAAGATGTCCAAGGCAAGGCTTGGAGTCCAAGGCAAGGCTTGGAGTCCAAGGCAAGGAGATAGTTTACCTTCTTTCCATTATGTTGCATCAAAAATCCCTCAGGTAGTTGTATGTAAAAGTAATATCTAGGAAAAACGGGCGGCGTATATGAGGGTGTTATAAGAAATAACCTTCAACAGAAAGTGGTAGAATAAACCCATCCTCGAAGGGGCATCGCGTAAATTAATTAATCTTCACCTGTTCCACCTTAAAACCTTCAATCCATCTTCGATTTTCCTTTTCATCAAATACCCTCTCATCGCGTAGTCTTTGCTCTTTCGGTACGTCGTGTTTTGGTAGGTCCCAGCGCGGGACGACCGTTGCGACCCTGCCAGAAGCGAGGAGTAGGCGTCAGGGGACAGGACGTTGGTACGCGACTTTCCAGACAAGGCGAGCATCTTGGTGGCACTGGCCAGGCCACCGAAAATTGCTGCAGAGGAAGAGGAAGTTTTGAGCGGCGGGGAGAGGCCAAGGGATGCGTGGTAGGCGGCGAGGAAATCCTTTGATTTGGTGAGTCGCGGTGAAGGAAATGAGATGAGACGTCGTCGCATGGACCGCGACAGATTGGTACAGGGAAGAAACGTTGGCGAATGAAGACTTTATCGGATGTGTACCTGGAACGGGTTGGCTGGATGTCTCCTCGTCAGACTTCTAGCAGTCACGTGCTATAGGAGCCGAAGTTATTAAACATCAGCGATGGCATTGAAAGATTGACAGGAACGCGCGCGAAGACATCTTACATTCACCAGGTCCGATCGTGACCCGTCCAACGTTCTCGCCAGCGTCAGCAAGCATGTAGTTGCGTTGCTATGGTAGCTCGACATTTTCATTATGATATCGTTTACCTGGTATATGTGTTACGAAACAAAAAAAAAAGAAAAAAAAAAGGGGGGGAGGGTCACCAAACGTGGAAATAAATTGAAATGGATGAAGCAGATGAAACTTTGCGACTCCCAATTATTTACAAATCCTAGTATCGTCCATACCTTCTCACAGGCTACCGATCTCATGACCTTCAACACCTCTGTGAGCAACGTCAGGTACTCGAACGAAGTGGAGCATAGCAGCTGCTTAGTCGTGAACACGGCCTGCGCGTTTTTCTGGTGAGGTGAAATATGATATTCACCAAACAGGTATTAGAGAAATTAATAGGGGGGGAAATGGGCATTCGAGTCTCCAATTACCTCGAAAGCGTTCAAACCGGTTATGGTGTCTCTTCGCCGTGAATGGCCGCAGTGCCTCAGCACATTGGCCTCGTGCTCTTCGCGCGTACGCTCTAGCTTGTCACGTGTGCTCTGGTGTCGCATGGATTGGAACGTGTGAGGCAAATATTTAGAAACAGGAGAATTTCCACAAAAACACTAAATTCACCTTGACCTTTTCGTCAAGTTGCCTTCGATGTTCCTCCAGCGAATCTTTAAAAAAAGGAGGGAAAAGACCGGAGAAACCGGTGGAACAAGTTAGCCAGAGCTCGATACAGCCGGATTTGGATTTGGGCAGGCCCGTGTGCTCACCAATCACCGATGCTTGAACTCGCGACAGGAGCGTAGCGCGAACGTTGTCCAGCTCACCGAGAATCTCGATGATGCGCGAGCCCAGATTCCACGTTGCGCTGGAGCTGGAGGGGGCTTTGTCTAGGAATGGAGGGTGTATTTATCAACGTCAAAACAACACCATTAATGAATTAAGGATGTTGGGTATCGTTGGCGTGGTTAAAAATAAAAAGCCGAATAGTTAGGTAGCATTGGGCTTTACCCTTTTGCTGAACAGAGTTCTCGCTACCAAACTCAATGATTTCCATGAAATCGGTCATAATTCGTTGAAGCGACTTGCTGAAAGCTTGAGTAGGCGTAGCAACCGAAACGTTACAAGAATCAAAATTTCTCGCGAAACAAGCTAGGAATCGGATGACACGCATATCACATGTCCATAGGATTGCTACATGCGACGCAATACCTCACATCGACAATACCAAACAGCACGACTCCAGAACGTACCATCCCCAAGCCTACAGCATCCTTGGACGGCATCAATCCAGCCCGAGAAACGCTCAAAGGCACGCTCCTTCTCAGTGAGGGCCTCGTGAAACAACGGGGTATCGTTGAAAATCTCGACAAAGTCTATCCTTCCGCCCGAAGAAGCGGTAGAGGAAAAAGCAGGTGTGGAGGACGAGGAAGAGGAGGAAGAGGAGGAAGGAGGGCTCTGCGATGAGCTTGCGCCGCTTTGGTTTGTGTCGACCATATGGCCTGTTGTTGATAACGAGGGAGAGGTTAGGTATTAATGAGGATTGTGTGGAGCTGTGATTGGTCGATGTTGTTTTAACGAGTGATGGATGGCCTCTTTCGCTCCTCCTCCTAGTCTTTTATATAATTGGATGGGGTACGGAGGACATTAAACGAGGTAGTCTACAACTCGAAGATGATGAACTGGATGGAAGGCTAGAAAGGGGAGTTGAAGGGTTTCTAGAATCCAGACGCCGCAAAGAAGCGATGGTAGTGTTTGGCGCCGTTGATGGATGGAAAACACGCAAATGTTCGTTTTGTTTTAAGCAAAAATGTTTGTGATGTTTTAAAGGGATCTTGATTGACCGAGGCGATAGGGGGCAAACACCGGGCAGCCGGATGCGAGCAGAGGTGCGAGGCCGTCGGGAATGTGGAGGAGGGTTGGATGGAGGTGAGCCGGCTCGGGAGAGAGAGAAAACAATTAAGAGCAAGCCAGAGAGAGGCGATTTCTAGTGCATCTGCAACCAAAAATAGCGATGCAACCGGTCGGTCGTTCGATGTGGGAGGGGGGATGACATTTGGGGGGACTCGTTTGACGTCTTCCATGCGTCAGGCCTGCATCCTCATCCAAGAACTGCCGAGTACAACCGTAAAAAAAGGGCGGGTACCTGGTTTACGATGCGCGTTTGGTCACACAGGCTCCTGCCTGAAACGCCGTCGCCGATCCCGCCGTTCGAACGACCTTACGTCATTTGGCCATCGATTTTTATGTGCTCGGTTGACTGGTTTCAAATGAACTCTACATGTTACATTATCATGATGCCTGTTCAGGTGAGCGGTTATGCATCTCTTTGTTGGAAAATTTCCTTTTCGATCATTATTCTTGCTTTCGTCCTGACAGGATGACAAAGCGGAAACAAATCTATCATCCGTAGGGAGACGGAAGAGAAATAAGCACGGATACTATATTTTAATTATTTATAAAATAATATTCTTCCTTATTATCATATGATGTGCCTCTTTAGCTCAGCTGGGAGAGCGTTAGACTGAAGATCTAAAGGCCCTGTGTTCAATCCACAGAAGGGGCACACTTTTTTTTTCTTTTTTTTTTTTTCTTTCATTTTGGCCTGTTGTTGTTGAGGTATTGAAGCGGGTTATTGCAAAGCGACAAAACGCCAAAATGGCGGACGTAGGACCACAATTAAAACAAATAAGGATCCCGATACTGCATACTACTTACTGCCAACTCCTAATCACATTTCTGTAGCGACATAAATCAAAACAGAAAAGGAACGACCGACAGGCTTTGATGCAAGACGCACAATCAAAACAAATAAGGACCAGTCGAACCTCAAGCCCCTATTCACGATCTGAGGATAGCACAATCAAAAAACAAATAAGGAACCATGCCGGAAGAACCACAAGCCCCTATTTGCAATTCCCAAGTACTATCCTAAACCGGGTTGGGTTGGTCCTCATCCTCCTATTTCATGAACCAATCTCATCCCCTCTTCCGCCTTGACGCCTTTATATTCGCCTATAGCTATACTCTATTACATTCTTCAATTACGTAACGAGGTGAACCCATCTTCGAGGGGGACCTATCAGTGTTTGTACTGGATTCTCACGTCGGCGCTATCTGAAACGCTTTCAACAGTAGATCGTTCGGCTGGATCCGATTCCCGACATTCGGTGGCGCTTTGATCTTTCGCTTGCAAAGCCCGGCTGATTGACAGACTTAATCCGAGATGGTGGACATCCGACGCCTTGGGGTACGGTTTGCCCGGGATAAACAACTCCGGCGAGATGAAGATGGCTGCTATGTACCTCGTCAGTAGCTCAATTTCCGGAGCTGATCGAGACTTGTGCGAGCCCGAAGTTCCGTGAGTCGAGAACCGAAACACCCAAGTTTCTAGGCCTGTTGCCTGGTGAAGGACATCGATCGCGTGGAGGCGAACGAAATGCTCGAGTAGTAGACCTTACTAAGGATAACGAAGCTCGCCAGACCAGTGAAGAAAAGCACAAAGGCAAGAGCCCCAGTAAATTAAAGTTTCTTCATGCGAAACAATAGGCTCGGTCGACCAAAGGCAATGCTTGAAAATCTCGCCATAGATACTTGAAAGTTTCGTCTTAATGCGAGCAATCGAATCTCGAATATCATAGGCAGGTATGGTAAAATGAGGATGTCGATGAATTCTGTCGAAACATAATCCTATTTCTTGCGGGCGTGAGTTTCAAGGATTATTATCATGTCTCATATATATACTTACAAATTGCCGACTTGAAACCATACATCATGGTCACTGAAAATAATATGTTTTTATTTCACTCCCACGACCCATGACAAGTGCTAGCAGCAGCAAAAACAAGATCTACAAGCAAACAAGAAATATGACGACAATATAAGCAGAACGAAATACAATATGCACAACTTTTGTTCATCACCTCACATTGCAAATCTCACAGATTTCTTTTCCCTCCTCACGGCCTCCTCGGCCCCCTCCTCCTCTCCTGTTGTGCACACACACTCATCCTCTTCTTCGAACCGACACGGACACACGCCCTCGTCCCCCTCATCCCTGGCATCGGACCCATCCACCTTTTTATCCTCTACATCATCCTCCTCGCTGTCAACACACTCCGCAATATCAGATCCCTCTTCCACCTCTTGTTCATCATCCTCCTCTTCCTCATCCCCTCCCTCCTCCGACGCCTCCTCGTCCTCGTCCGACGTGTTTGAATCCCTCTGGACCCATTCTACGAACCTCCTCGACACGTGCCTCAAATCCGCCCCATGCTGCTGCTGCGCGGGGGCTGCCTGCCTTGGCGCCTGCTGTTCCACCGTCCTTCGCCAATGACATGCGCCCGAGAAGCCTCCTCGTCCTTCTTCGATAGGTGCGAGCGGCTGCGGGGGTGGTTTCCTATGCCACCACTCGACGACAGCATCGCCTTCAATAACATCATACTTGTATAGCAAGACCAGTACGCGTTGGTACTGCCTAGCAAACTCATCGACACCGGGCTTCCCCTCCCTCACGAGCGCGCCAACGCGAGCCTCAAGCCCGGTGAGGAGACATTGCATATCGTCCTCAGAGTGCACAAAGTTCTGCATCACGACACGCCAGTAACGCGCCACGGACTCCTGGAGCGCAGCGGTGGCCGGGTCCATGCGGTGAGGCTGCTTTGCGATTGGGGTGGAGTTGGACGATAGCGATGAGACCTTATCGACTGCCCAATCAACGAACGCCTCGGCGAGGACGCGCACGACGTCATCCGTGCTAGGCTCGTACTTCATAACAAGGTCGTCGAGGCACAAATTCGTCGACGCCGAGTTGAGCCCCGAGACAAGGGCCTGCTTAAGATGCGACGTGGCGAGGGCCGCAAAATCGACCGTAAAACTCTTTTCCCCCTCCTCCTCTTCCTCATCTTCGCCGTCAGCATCATCTTCGCCGCTGGCGTACCCGATGGGCGCGCGGTGGGTGATGACCTCAACCCCTCCTCGTTCGAACCGGCTCGCCTCCCCTTCTTTACTGTCGTCAACGCCGGTATCGCCACTCTCCTCCTCGGAAGCGGAGGCCGACTCGGCAGACACGACGTCATGGTCACCCCAAAACCCATTTCGCCTCTTGGTGGCAGCGGATGTAACGGGAATGTCTGACGCAGCGCGCTGAGCCTCTACTAGCAGCTCTTTGAGACGCCTGATCTCGTCATCCTTTTCCTGTAGGAGCTCGTTCTGCTTATCGATCTCTTCCATGTACTTCTCGTGGCACTTATGATCAAGCAGCCGGGTCTCCCGCTCAGCCTTGAGGTCGGCGCGCGTAATGCGCAGCTGGGCGCTGAGGTTGGCGTTCTCGGTACGCAGGCGGCGTAGCTCGCGGTGGAGTGCCGACGTGGAGCCCGTGGCAGGGACCACAGAGGAGGAGGATGTCGATGGAGACGGTTTGGGTTCGTCGTGGTGACCGCGCCGGACGGGCGAGGCGGAACGCGAGGATATCGGCGCCGAGTCTACTGACGACGAGGTCGAGACCGACGGCGAAGGGATGTTGTCGTGCGTCAAGGCAGTTGCGGGTTGTGTGGCGGCGTCCTTGTCCTTAGCATTACGCCCGGCGGGTGTGGTGGTAGTGCTTGTCGTGACGGCTGATGAGTTACGGTGTTTGCGCTGTGCTGCCTCGTCGAGTAACTGAGACTGCTGGAGCGTCATGCGTGCGTATTCAGCCATGATCGCTTCCTTCCAGGCACTCTGGTCATGGAAGAGGGTATGCGGTTTGCCTGTGAGTGGTGAGTGTATGTATGTGGGATGAGAAATAAGCAATTCAATGTGGTGAGCGTATGTGCCAACATATGCCACAGGTAAAGAAAACTCTCTGTGCACCCATCCCAATCCACGTTTAGGCGGGATCATTCTTTAAGTTATCAGTTCCCCAAGCTTACATCCCGCCCCAGTCACTCCGCCGTTTCAACAACTTACCGGACGCGGCAACCTGAAAGTTCTTGTTAGCGATGGGCCAACAGCTCATTGGCATTATGACCATGGACGTAAGGTAAGGTGGCAACGGCTGTGCGAAGAAGGGCGATTGGAAGGCCATGGGGTGACCGTCGTAGAGCAAGGTCCCGTACGAGGGTATTCTTTCAAACCTGGACGACGACATCACAGGGGCTGAGTGGGACGGGGTGGGTGCGGGGGCGATGTGAGGACGGTACTGAGTATTGTTGGGTGTGGCGGTGTTGTGTTGTCGTCTATTAGAGAGCATGCTCGCGTAAACGTGCGGGAACTCGTTCGTCGCAGAGTAGCAGGGCATCGTAGAAGCCTCCATGGTTGTGAAGTGACTGCTGCTTCTTGGGGTAGTGGTGATAGCGGTTTTTGTCGTCCGTAACTTTACAGTCGGGTTTGCGGTGCCAGGCGGCGGTGAGGTGGTAATTCAAAGGTTGAGAGGGTAAAACGGTCGCGACGCGTGTGGGGAGATAAGGGGCGGAAATGGGGTCAAAGGTTGTGGCTGCGAAGGCGATAATTGTGGCGACGAGCTGGACGACAGTGGCGTCGACGACAATGAAGTCAGAGGTGGGGGAGTTGATATCGATAGTGTTGTTGTTGATGATAACAGTAGTGTAGTTGATAGGGGGGATAATGTCAGACATTTTATTATGCTGTGAAAGAAACTGAAGCTTTGTAGTTGAAGAGAAGTTCTCAAGCAAGGAGGAGTGGGGGAGTTGTTAGTGGAATGGGTAGTAGTAGTGGTGGTGGTGGGGGGGGGGTGTTCGGGCTTAAAGGCAATGATGCATGCACATCATTTTCGAGGTTGTTTGGGTAAGGAAGGGGGTCTGTGGGTAAGGAGGGGCGGGCGGGTGGGGTCATTATAGGCCTTGTTGAAGGCGTCGGACAAAAACCTGAAAATTTCCCAAATCATGACTCACACCGTCCTCCCGCCCAATCCCACCCGTCCTCCCCGATCACCGAGCCGGGGTAAAGTGTCGCCACTGGCCGATACCTCATCCCGATATGGAATCCCCCAAGCCCCACCCCAAACGGTAAAACTTCCCCCGCGTTTTCTCGTCCTTGCCAGATGTTACCAGGCAACAAACAAACATGCATCGAGCCTTTGTCACTACTTTTAAGCCCTTGTTTACCCACACCTTAATCCCCCCACGCCATCATTAATTCCGGAGACACGTTGTATTGGTAGTGCCCTTGTCAATACAGGTGATTTTTTCCATCATGCATAGAAAAAGCAAGCACACGCGATTCAAAAAGACCCTAATATACCGCAGTCGCTTCTATATATATCATCTCAGCCTGCAGCCAAAATAAACCCTTTTTGTGCATGTTGCTGCCTCCTTTCCACATGAACTGCCATAGCACATACAGTTCCCAGCAAAAAAAAAAAAAAAAACATTACAGTTCCCACCCTCACACCTTGCTCGCCATCTAATCGAGAATCATGGATCAGGATCCATAGGCGCGATAAGGAACAGACCCCGATAGGCCCGTGCAGTCTAAAATTATGACATTTATCTGGCATGTGCTGATTACGGAAGCGTTATGGCAGGTGACGTAATGGAAGGGTATGATTTGCACGGAGTCAAATGATGG